TCCTCATAACATCAAATATCTGCCAGTGAAAGTCCCGTTATAATCGGTCCAGCCATTTCGGAGATTAGCCGAAACAAACAGACGAGACAGACCGACAGACAGACGGACAAAATTTTTTAAAATTGTTTTTTTTGTAATAAGTACCGTAGAAAAGTTCATTTATGCATCTAAATGCATAAAAGTTCATTTATGCATCTAAATGCATAAAAGTTCATTTATGCATCTAAATGCATAAAAGTTCTAAAAAATGAATAAATAAATGAACTTTTATAATTCACTAATGAATAGCTGTTATTTTGAAGTTACAAACAGACACTTCAATTTTATTTATTTGTATAGATATCAGTTTTACCACGTGATGCCGGTGTAAGAGAATCCATGACACTATTTCGCCTCATCGATGTGGTCGACACAACGCCTCTTACATCATGTCGTAAGAGGCGTAGAGAGAAATACTAAAAGAATCTTATGGGTGCCGATAGATGGCGATGTAAGAATCTCTTTACGTCAGGCGTCAATGATGCGAGGCGCCTGAAGCCGCGTATCCACCAAAAATGTTGACAACAGTTATGTTTCCAACTGTTTACAAATGTTTCCAACAAGCGTCTCCACCGAGGGAAGAAATGTTGGCAACAAGCGTATTCCTTTGATGTTGCCGCCGAAAATCGAAACAAGTTTTGTTACCAACTGTTATTTTGGCAACAAAACTTTGGTGGAGACGCAGTTTGATACTGATTCAAACTTCACTCCTTCTGCCACCTTCTGCTAAGTGCGAAGATAAAGCCAATCCTCCCAATAACGGGAGAGGTCATTTCCAACTCTATTTTTTTATGTACCTCTACTTTTTACTCACAAACACATACATAATTTTTTATAATTCTACTCAATTATGTGTAACCTAAACGCTAATATTAAATTATAGTAAAATATAGTATCTACCGTTGTAACTAATATTTAACTGTTGTCTTTCTTTGCTACATAGTACATGATTATTATTTTTTTCTAATTATTTTTTCTTCTTTCTTTAACTAGAATATAAGTGTATTCTGTTTTATTGTTCAATTACGAAGGAAATCATTTAACGTAGATACAGCCTAAGATGTTTTGATGCAGCTATCTACTTTGTCCACGGAGATCTGCAGGTGGAGATTTTTTCTAGTTTAGGCACCAATTTTTCATCTATCAATAATATTGTTTCATATGTAAACATATATCATTATTGCTCTATTTAATGTATATTGTTGGTGGAAAGAAATAAATAAATAAAGCTGCGAACTATTACGTGCATACGGCCTGTTGTAGAAGAAAAAGAAACATAACTGCTAAATAACTTTAATTACATCGATTGATAAGCCTTGTACATTACGACATAATGCATTAGATTTCAAAACTATATGAAATTTCCAAACAAAAATAGGTACCTAACCTGGCAGTTTTGGAAATTTTCACAGGAAAATTATAATTTTATGAGGAAATATTGCTGACAGTTTTAACAACTTTATTTTATAAACTATATTAATTTTATGCAAAACATATTATAAAAGAAACTTTTATTAATAATAAGTTATATGGATATGTTTCTGTTTTAGTCCCGTATATCAACACTTTACTTAGTACCTACACAAAATTACTGGTTACTATTGTACTGGTTTAGAAAATTTTAAAAGTTGTAGAAAACTAAATGTTTTGTACTTATTTGAATTATTTGTTATTAATAGAGAATTTGTTTTTTCTTGATTTAACATTTTAACATAAGCGACAAAATTAATAATGGTATATTAGGGAGTAAAAATAATATTGTTGCTATTTTAATTACAAATTATATCCTTTAAAAATGTCTCGTATTTTGTTGAATATAAGGATTAATTTTAATATCTAATAAATTACTGATACATTTTACGCATTAGTGATCATAAAATGTGATAACCGACGTGAAGCGTGGGCGAATCGACTGGTCCGTGTAGGCAGGGCCCCTTGGGCTACCTGTTCTTAGCCACTTTACTGCGAGCCATTGCGTCATAAAGTGATCCAGAGCACATCTGCTGTTTCTATTTATTTTCCGCTTAACACAGCTTTGTTGCACGTGCTAATGCATTTGCGTTAATTCGATGTATCAACGACACAACGCATGGTCAATACAAATAGAATTCCACTACAAATGACGTAATAATATAAATAATTGCAATAACCATCGAATTTAAGGTAACATATATAAAGTATTAAAATAAAAATGGTTATTATGGATTTGAATTTGTCCAACTTTGTACGTGGTTGAATCACGTTAAGTAGGTCTGTTTTTTTGGATGCCTTACAAAAATTGGTATTATAATAATTGGTCTGTCCAAACGGGGAAATACCAGTCTTGCAAAGAAAATAGCGTTAAATAACAGAATTAAATGCTCAAGTATTTTGTATGATTAGTTATGAAAAACGAAGACCTTTTTAAATATAGCGAGGCAGTTATACGTGGTAGAGCCATTCTGCAGCTGTATTATGGTTTTAGCACGTAAGGGTCGGCTCGACTGGGGAAGGACCACGTTCTCAAAAAATACCAACGTAAAATAGCAGCTTACTCGTAATTTTGCAGCTGTTTCGTATGATGTGTGCAGAGAACCGGAGACCCTTTTTACTAGAAACAAGGCATTCTACCTTAGTCCTTAAGGGTATAAAGGCATCAGCATTAAAAATCTGCATTTTCTTAATCGAGGATAGATGTAGATGTCACAGCAGCATTGAGTTATTATTTTACGTATTCTTCTGGTATTCTGTGAGGGCGTGGTTCTTCTGCTGTCGAGCCAACCCATTCGTGGTACAACCATTATATAGCTGCAGCATGGCTCTACCACGTAAAAACACATAAAATTGCGGATTCACGGAGTAATTAATTTACGTTATATAAAAAGCAAGCCATAATATATAATTTCGATTACTGGTATAAAAATTGTGCAAACGGAAGTTTTGTACGGAGCTTGCTCTACAAACTGTATGTAGTAACTTGTATTAGAAAACTGGAACAGCGGAAATCTGTGTATGGGTTGTGTCGTTCGCACTTAAAGAAATAAATACGAAAATCTTAAACAGTATACTGAATATATTAACCTACATTATGTTTGAAAAGCCTTTCTAAGCATAAACAAAAATCAAATTAATAAATAAATTAGAAAATATGATGTCTTATCATTTATTTTAAAGTAAGGTTCAGAAACTTAATATTTAATTTTGTGTTATTTTAGGCATATATTTTAAGTATTTATTTAGCGTTTTTAAATAAAACTAATTTTACGGATTTTATCGCGTATATTAACTTAATATAAGTTAATTAAGTTAATATACGCGATAAAATCCGTAAAATTAGTTTTATTTAAAAATGTGTAGTGTTCGCGTAAATATAAGAAACCATTATTTATTTAGCGTTTAAATACATAAAAGTATTAAGGGAATTTCGAAATTAGGACAGTTTTATAACTGCTATTAAAGAGTAGAGCTTAATTTTTTAAGGTTTGGTATTCTTATAAGTTATATCTATTTGTTAGATAAATTTTACAGTACGCGAGCAACCTGGGTTCCATCCTCGAAGATACCCATGAAATTGTTATGTTTAACACGTGCACCGCCACGCCGCGCCGGTGAAAGAAAAATAACGTGCCTACATGTCTAAGGTTAAAATATTTCGAAGACATGTGAAGTCCGCTAATATGCAACGGAGCAGCACGGCAGACTAATCTCTCAAGTGTTGGGACGTATTTTTTATACATAAGAAAGCACAAACGAGGATGCGATGGTAAGCTTGCCTGATCGTAAGCGACTATCGTCGCCCATGAACAACTAACTGCAATACCAGGAGAATTGCAGGTGCGTTGGCTGTCTTGTAAAAAAGAGTAGGCTCTTTTCTTAATGGTAGTCGGTAGGTAGTTAGCCCTAAGTCGTATCTGTGCGCAATATTCGCTGGTGGTTATCGAATACGTATTAAATAGGCTGTAACTTTACTAAGAGCATAATTTTACATTATGCTCTCTGAATTAATTTAGACTTCGTCTTAAGTATCCTTTTACATTTATAATTTATTATGCTAAAGTAAAATCAGTAAGCAGTAGGTAGAATTTCAGTTAAGGCGACACCGCGATAAAATGCACCTCCTTTTATCGAATAGTATAGGAGTATGACACGACTAACGAAACTGGATTTTGATATAGGTAAATTCATGTCTTTATCTTGAATTTGCTTGTTCAAAAACATGATTGTAAAATTTTGACTCGATCATAATTATTTGCGGAAACACCTCTAAAAAATTACTTTAGTGGAAATTACAACGAAATTACTTAATCTATATGCTTGGGAACCACTCAAATACATTCATAACATCAATGTTAGTAATTTACTTGCTCATTATTTTGATTACTAAAATCAATAATTTTTTAAAATATTTTAAGATTCTAAGTGGTCTTAATCGCCACGGGCGCTACGCAATTTTAGACCTTATGACGGCGTTTTTGAAGTTTTTATAGAAATTATGTTACACTCGGGTCAGTCCGGCGATAGCCCGCTTCAACGGTTTTCGATGTGTCGCCTTAACATGTAAATAAGAAGATTAAATTTTCTCGGGTCGCTTTGAAACCTGAAGCGGAGTCTGGAGCACAATGCCTGCAATGAGCCGAGAGAGAGAGTTACCCGTGAACTCTTCCGGCTCATTAGCATTGAATGGCGGCGCGTGCGCGAGCCTCGCGTAGTATCAATGCAGCGGCTGCGATCAAACCGAACCTCAATCTAAATCAATCCAGCTGAGACGCTCTCGATCGTATTGTTCTTATTCCTTTGTCGTTTAAATGTAATGACCATATTTAACATGTGCGGTACCTAACAAACGCAGCTTTAGCTATATGAAACTTCTGATATGAAAGATTAACACATCTATCACAAAAATATTTAGTTTGTTATGACCTCATATGTAAAGTTAAAATGTAAACCTAATGAGCGTAACTTCTAAAGCTAAGCGTACTTACCGGCAGTTCGAGGTATTCGGCAATCGTGTACTTGGCAGCACCTCTTCGAATGTCAGCAAGGGCCGTAAAATGTTCGTCACGACGTGCTTTGCGTCTTAACAGGGCCCGCGCATACGGATACGCTGAGAGATACTCTCCATAAGCGTCCAACAGCTCTCCCATGAACAGTTGCTTGAGTAAAATCGCACTCTCACTGATTTCACCTTCCGATGGGGGCGGTGGCAGTTCACGGCTTTTGAGAGACACTGGGATGCTTTTAGGAGCAAAAATGCCGATGCCACTTGTCGATTCACATGAAGTATAAGCTCCAGTAGAATCGCTCGATCCGCATTTGGAAAAGGGAAATGTGGATGAGGTACCACTTTTATCACTGCTCGCAGAACTCTGTCGAGCTGTGATCGATTTTTCGTCATAATCCGGATATTGAGGCTCAGATTGACTCTCAGTTGATGGAGACGATTCCACTGCAGCTGCGCTAATATAAGGTGTATTTTTAATGCAATTATATAAATCTTCTATCGATTCATATGGTGTTATACTTCCGCAAGATTCTTTTTCATCGGTACGCAGAGTTTCATATATTTCTTCATTCCTCCGTCTAGTGGAAACTGGTGTAATTGCAGATTCAGAACGACTTCTTTTTACACTACGGACTTGATCATACCCGAAGTCCGAGGGATTGAGAAAATTCCAGCGCACATTGGCCCAAACATTTTCTGATACGTCGGCTGATATTCTATGATCAACACAACACTGTCGACTGTTTCTTAATGAAACAGACGTTACGCTTTCATTTTCATTTTCTACCACTGAACTGTCAACTTCAGAATCATTAGTGTCTACTGGAATATCCACTAATATCTTACGAAGACTTATACCTACAGATGATACATTAGAACTATTGTCTGCGTCATCTAATTTACGGTCAACCTCGTTGTGTTCATTGCATTCTGAGTTCATAATTACAGATGTGCAGTCAACATCCTTTTGAGTAAGTATTCCTTCCTTAATTAGCTCAGACAAAAGGCTCTCTGATCCATCTTCATCCACACTTTTTTTGGACTCTACCAACGTCTGATTATCTTCGTTGCGACTTTCACTAATTAATAATCCGGAATCGATGTATTTTCGCATTCTCTCCGTTAGGGCTTCACTAGCTTCTGACACAGATTCAAGATAATAGAACAGTAAATGGTATTCCTCTCGTGTGATGACAGCTGCGCGCAATAATGGCTTGCCATACAGCTCCAAGGCTGAGAACAATGTTGAAGCTGCAATAAAAGAGAAATTATACGTTATTATATCACATAGTGTCATGACTTTGCCAGACATGTAATGATAAGTTTCAATAATTATTGTCTACGTACATCTAAAACTCATAGTGGAATAATAAATTGGCACAATAGATAGAGTTGTGGGCGTTGGAAAGGTCAAACCGAATGTCAAATTATTCACCTTGCATTAAAACGTGTTGCATAATTACGACCCAGACCTTTTATCTATTTGTATTTACTTAATTACATACTTAATTAGGATTTAACTTGTAATCATTATTATATTATATTTACACACACACACACGCACACACACACATATATAACACAGTTACAGTATATTACTTTATCATACATTCCATCTATACTGAAAAATCATGTTTGTCCTTGAATGAACTATCTATATACATAATAAAGCTTTTACGGAACCCTAAAAGCGCGAGTCCTACACGCATTTCTCGCATTTTTTTTTACCGCAATGATAATCGCAAGCCATATATTCTCCAAAGCTTATGAGATAGCAAAAAGGGTGGTGATCGTTTACTTGTTCACTTTAATATATCCCACGCATGCAAGTTCAGCCTTCAGATGGATCTACAAGTACTACAATTATATATTTTTGTTCAATTTCCTTAGTTGACTATTTCTGACGTTTTACGATTAGTGTCACGAACATAGATATCATAATATTTACATTTATAAATCAAAATTACGCAATAAAAATTATATCTTTATTTAAATACTGTGCGACCTCCCACGAGATGGAGTGACTACCTGATGAAACATTAATGTAGATGAATCCGTGTGGCTCAGACCTGTGCTCAGTACTGTGTGGCCAATCTATGGGGATAGCTTAAGTTCAGTACAAAAATAGGACGAGGTTATAAGCTTTAAAAATTCTTTCAACAGAACATAACTCTAGGTGCTACACTTATCATCAAGTGTTTTTCACGTAAGAAATTTTTGACAAATTTCGAACTGAAATCGCGCGACTTAGTAACCGGATAGGTACATTGACGGCCGTCCAAAAATTGCTACACATGTCTACCGTGCCCATAGCACATTTAACATGTCTCGCCCAATTCCAGTGTCGGTATGTCAGTCACGGTGGCTGCGTTTGGTTTGCATACAAGTCGCTTCTGCGAAAGATTACCGACACAATGGCGTGCGTACGCGTTTCATTATTGCCAAACCGCTTTCTATAAACATCGCTCGTGCGCCTTAGGAATACTGAGTGCGACTTCGTTTGCACCTCGTTGGATAACCGACGTTTGTTGAAGGAACGCCTCGAGGAAAGTTCTTTAACAATTTTCCAAACATGAGCGCGTAAATATATTCCTTTATACATTTTCTCATGCGTATGTAACCTAATGAAATATCACAATACTAAGATACTGAAAGAATTAATACTTAGTAATAATTAGTCTATGGTATTATAACGATTGTGTATCTATTGCTTGCTACTTCTCTTTCTTCCCCAATCCATACGTTAGTCTTATTCTCAGAATATTAATTTAAATACTGTGTTCCTTTTTGTTACCGTTACTTTTACTTGTTGTTCATTAAAGGTTAAATAAATAAACGATAATATGTTTAAAAAAAAATCTTACCATATATCCTTTCCCATGCAAGAAATGTCTCCAAATCTTTGCCATCCCATTGCGGTGGTTCATTTTCCACAACAATGACTTCGCCCTCTAACGCAGACGCTGGTGCCCTGGGATCCACTGGCGCTTTAGAGCCGCCGAGGAACAGCAAAGCGGCGGGTGGGGCAGACAAAGCCGATGGCGGAGGCAGTGGTGCCGTTAAAGGCAAGACTTGTGGTGCTGACAATGGTCCGGTTGGGAGCCCTGCCACAACGGCTCCTACTTCTTGGAGAGGCTCGCAAACTATTTCTGCTATTGTGCTGTTGCCCCAAACCGTAACCTGCAAATAAAAGTAACATGTAAGAGACGCGTTACAAAGTGTTGTAGGTATGCCTCTTCTTTTTATGCCTTTCCTCAGTAGATAAGTTATTTGCGGATAAATTGAATTTCAAGAGTTCAGTTACATAATATACTAGGCGGGTAAATACGAGAAAGTATTTATAACTCCCATCGGACATAAATGGCACTATATCAGGTGGACTGTGTGCTTGTTTGTAAACTTTACTTCTAAAAGAAAAATCCCACAAACTAAAGATGTGACAACTCTACCGGTGCGAGGGTACCGGCACTTTGCTCATCAACTCTTAGCGTGGTGAGTATGGAGGATCTTTCGAGAATTTCGTCGCTTAGCGCGTTATAAATAAATACCAAAGAAGTAATTTAATATTTGACCAAGCTGTACACGCGTAATGTAGGCTAGATAACTTCAAATGATAGTTGTAATGTTAATCCAACTTATGCAGATAGAGCTATTTAAAATTTAAAAAGTTAATTATCAAACGTTAAGGGGGTGATCTCTGCCGATTCAAGCCTCGAGTTCTCGCGAGGGAGTTATGCATTTGGGTATTTCCCCAATATAAAATGTGGTTTTAACAGCACAATTTGAAACTTGATAACCTTGTAATTATTTTAAACGATTGAGTTGTAATCTACATCAAAATTAAACATCCCTAAGTTTTTGACCATTTCAGTTAAAAACTGACTATAGATGTGATATGTCACAAAAAAATTAGAAAATTTCCTTATGTTACAGCTGGATTCTAAAATTAGTGAAGAAGATGCCATAATAATTATTTAGTAAAAAACTTAAGAAGGCGTATGGTTTTAATATTTTTTTAACGGCTCCGTTGCGCAGTGGCTTATCAATGAGTTCCAGCGCTAAGTTTTTGTAGGTATGGCCTACAAATTATTGTTCCGGCTCTGGATTTTTGTCTTTGTGCAATTTATACATGTAAACTGCACCCACGATACGGGAGATAGGATTTTCTAGAGGTAATACAAAAACCAATCATCATCGTCATCATTACAGCCCGTCTCAAGTTCCCTGGTGAACATAGACCTGCCCCAAGGAATGCCACAAAGCACAGCCCTAAGCCATCAGCATTAATTGACTTTCTGCATCTCTTATCACATCGTCACTTCATCTAGTGGGGGGCAGACCTACACATCGCTTACCAGTCATCATCTTCAGGCTGATTTTCTAATATATACCTATTTATAAGTAATTAGTTTAACATAGGTAGCGTAATATTTATGAAACCACGCTCTTATTGAAAACAGCCGTAATAGCATTTCAAAACAACTTCAAATTATCTACTTACAACGAGCGACTGCTGACGGAGATGTCAGGAATTTATTCTCCGAAACGCTAACCGTTACAATAGTTGAGCTACCTCGTAAACTCGATTACGTGTAAATACACAATGAACAAGTGTATAAAACTTGTTTGAACAATAACTCAGTGTAAAATAAGAGGTAAATTATACGTTTAACATCCATTAAGTAATTTTTCGAAGTTTTATAGAGATGGTTGGTTTAAAATATGTAGTACTTATATCTACGATATGTTGTTGTATGTTAATTTTATTTCTTCAACACTGTCTGTAAATAACGGTTCTGGTAATTGTTTATATTAGAGTGAAATATTAGCATTTTAAAACGCACTAAAATATGTCTAGTCAACACTTGCGTTTAGTATATTTCAGATGAATGTCGAAATTCTCATCGTAAGCAACAATGTATTTTATTTATTGATATCCAGCAATATCAGATATACGAAAATGCAGATATTGAAATAACATGTAAATTCAAGAGCCTCGAAGGCCTTGACTGCTCGGGTTCATGGAGTTTTTACCGGCGGTCCTCGTGACGTCACGGCCGAGTTATGCGCACGCGCGCCCCCCTCACCCGCTCGCCGCGCCCAAAACCTCCTGCAGGATAATGCGCTTGATACATCTTCAACGAGAAAAAATTAAAACAACAGTCAACGGACAAGAAGCATCAGTTTTACACGGCGAACGCATTTTTATAACCACAGAACGTACTCACAGCGTCAGAACTGGTTGAAATTTATTTGAAGTTAACTTTAAAATTAATATCGACGTTGTTATTTTTTTATCGCTTGCCAGTATGGGTCCTGCGTCTGTGAGTATGCGACTTAATAGTATTATTTTTTTGCGAATATTTCGCAACATAAAAAAAAACGTGACTGACATCACGGCGCGCGTTTAGTTTGGGCTCCGAATGAAATAATTTAAAAAAGTCTTTGGATGTCTAGCGCATTATTCTACGTACCTAGGTTTTAAAACGCGCTGCAACAAGCATTTAGTTTATTTTTTAAAGTTTTTTTTGAAAAGACTGCTTAATTTTGAAGTTTGACAGTGTTTGCCTGCGGCGCGGCGCTTCGGACAAAGAGTCGAATCCCGTAAGAAACAATTATTTTGTTAGGTAACAAATAGTTTTTCAGGCCTGGATGTTTATCTATATACAAATTATAATTATATGTATGTAAAACACCTCCACATTAAGAGATTTAATGTGGAAGTTTAAAAAAAATACACATGGAGCTAAAGCGGATTTGTTTTGTGGATTTTTTATGTTTTTTGGTCAAGAAATTCTTAGTTATTAATAACTAAAGCTTAATATATAAAAATGTTCCAACAAAAAAGTCAATAAGCGGTAGAGATGAGTAAAGCAAAATAAAAATGTGTTCTTTTTAAGTTCATGGACACAATGTTCGGTTCAAAAACTCATAAAAGTTTAGAACCTCTTAGATCGCAGGATGATTGACACATTTTTTAACATCTTGGTCCTTTTGTGGACCGTGCTTGTGGAGTAACATTACTCCTTGTCACAGATAATAAAATACAGAAATAAAAACTAAGGACTGGCAAAGAATATTTTCAAGTAGGTAGTTGTGTAGCCACATAACGTTTACTCAAATTAAAAATTACATATTATATCTATACTGTGGCGGATTGGGATTATTTTACTAGATATAGTGGACTGTATTGAGAATCTAAATCCCCTGAAACGTTCAGTTACCGCAGTCACAAAATCACACCAAAAACAGCAACAAACTACTCACGGTCTTACTAGCCAGCCTCCCAAGATCAGCAAACGTTGACAGCTCCTGGTAGCTTCTTCTACACGGTAGAATACACTAGCAATTAGATTGTATACGGTACACTCTGGAGTAGTCCCTTTTTAAAGTTTTTGGAGAGATGTTCACATCACGAACACAAAGAGAATGTGTATGGCTTGTCTCGCCTCCTACCCTCCTCTTCTCTTTTTTTAACTCCACAGATTATTACAACGCATATTACGTCGCAATGTTGCCACTAGGTGTGACCGGCGCTCCGATCGTAGCAGATCATTGTGCCTCGGTATAAATTTTGTGAGTTGCGGTTTATTACTGAACACACCCCCCACCGAAACCATCTTGATGGTTTCTCCTAACTATATGAAAAAGATATTAGAGAAAATATTATAACTTAAGCTACGGAACATGCAAAATAACGCTGAGACACAGAATGTCCTCAACGAGAAAAAAAAATATTAATACACGTAAAAACTAATTTGAATAAGGTAGAGGACTCAGTTTATTAACTGGTCTCTGTAGAGTACTCTTTTGAGTGCGAAGCGTAACACAACGAACAATCCCATCTGGACCGGGGTGAAGAGCCTCAATTCTACCCAAAGGCCAATCGCACGGCGGTACATTATCAGTTTTTATGATTACGAGATCACCTATTTTTATATTAGATCTATCCGAATGCCACTTTGCTTTCTGTTGCAGCGTATTTAGATATTCGTGACTCCATCTACGCCAAAACATTTGTGAACAATTTTGAATATATTGCCAACGTGATAATCGATTTATTGTTATATCCTCTACATTATACTCAGGTACTGCTGTTAACCCTTTTCCAATTAGAAAGTGTCCCGCAGTCAAAACGTTGAACTCATCAGGATTATCACTAGCTGGTAACGGACAAAGCGGCCGCGAGTTGAGAATCGCTTCTACTTTACAAAACACTGTTGTGAGTTCCTCGAACGTCAAACTTTTTTCTCCTACGGCTCGCGTTAATAGATACTTGGCGGATTTAATTCCAGCTTCCCAGAGCCCACCCATATGTGGTGCACCAGGGGGATTAAATCTCCATATAATTTGTCGTTTTGAGCAACCCTCTAATATATTGTTTTTTTGTTCGAGCATAAATCTTTGTACTTCGGTTAAATGCTTACTAGCAGCTATGAAATTAGTTCCGCAATCCGAATAAAGGAAGGAGCACACACCGCGTCGCGCTACAAATCTGTCTAAACACGCGAGGAAACAGTCCGATGACAACGACGATAAGACTTCAAGGTGTACAGCTTTTGTCGAATAACAAATAAATAATGCTAAATATGACCGTTCAACCCTAGCATTTCGTCGTAAACTTTCTTTTGTAAAGAACGGACCACCGAGGTCCACCCCTACATGCTCAAAAACATTACAAGGTATCAATCGGGCTGCTGGCAAAGGTGCCATCTCAGGCTGTAAGAGCACTGGGTTGTGTTTAAAACAAATTTTGCATTTGGACAAAACTGACCGAATAATGCGACGGGATGCTAAAATCCAAAAATTTTGATTAATAATGTTTTGTAAGGTGCGTGGACCTACGTGTAAATATTTTTTATGTAAATATTCAATAAGTAAAAAGGTAAATCTACTATTTTTAGGTATTAAACGAGGATGCTTCGCGTTATAAGGTAACGCTGAATAATTTATTCGACCCCCCACCCTGAGGTATCCGCGTTCGTCAATAAATGGAGATAATTTTCTCAACGACGGAACGTACTTTGTGCCCATGGACAATCTATTTATTTCATTTGCGAAGTATGCACTTTGTACTAATTTAATTAAAACATCTTGGGCAGTATTTAATTCGTTAGTCGTCAGTATTGATTGCTTCGAGTGACCGGATTTGAGTCGGAACCATCTCAATATTCGAGCAA